AAAAAAACAAAATCAACAACCACAGCGGAATGAACCACCAACTTATCCAGCACGTTTTTACACAGCGGATGCCCTTTCAGCCGCAACCCATCTCTGGAAAACATCCACACACACACACTCATTCAAACACAAACACACACATACACACACACACACACATACACAAATACACTCATACACTACGGACAATTTAGCCTACCCAATTCACCTGTACCACATGTCTTTTGAATGTGGGGGAAATCGGAGCACCCGGAGGAAACCCACGCGAACGCAGGGAGAACATGCAAACTCCACAAAGAAACACCAACTAAACCGAGGCTTGAACCAGCGACCCAGCGACCTTCTTGCTGCGAGGCGACAGCACTACCTACTGCGCCACTGACAAATAAATTTAAAATCATAAAAATGCTGAATTATCATCATTATTGCTCTTCAGTTTACTATTTATTATTATTGTATAAGATTTTTGCACTTAATTAGCTAATTTACATATTATTTTCACAAAAAATCTATTAAAAATGTTCACTGTTTTCATAAGTGATGCAGATTTTAAGTCATTTCAATAAATACATTTTAAAATATGATTTCATGATTTGAATAAAGTCATAGTAAATTGAATCAGAATCAAAATACAACAATAATAAGATAAAAGTAGCATGCTTCATAACACATTCGAAAAAGAAAACAAAAACATTGATATTATTCATACAGTTAAAGCCCCTTGTACATATTATTCCCTAATTTCTGTTTAACAGAGAGTTTTTTCCACACATTTCTAAACATAAGAAACATAGCTTTAATAACTCATTTCTAATAACTGATTTCGTCTTTGCCATGATGACAAAACAATATTTTACTAGATATTTTTTAAGATACTAGTATTCAGCTTAAAGTGACTTTTAAAGGTTTAACTAGTTTAATTCGGCAAGTTATGGTAATTAGGCAAGTCCTTGTGGGGTTAGTTATGTAAATCGGAAAAACAAAACAAAATCTTGCTTCAGGGGGCTAATAATATTGACCATAAAATGGCTAAAAAAAATTAAAACTGCTTTTATTCTAGCAAAAAAATAAATAAATAAAATAAAAATAAAATCTTTCTTCAGAAGAAAAAGTATTAAAGGAAATAGTGTGAAAAACTTCTTGCTCTGTTAAACAACATTTGTAAAAGAAAAAAATTATAATTTTGCTAATAAGCTAATATTTCTGACTTCAACTGTATGTGTGTGTGTGTGTGTGTGTGTGTGTGTGTTAGCACATATAAATTGGTTTTAGCTGGCTGCTTAACCTAACAGCGGGTGGTTCCTGACTAAAAATATGCACTAATAAACATACGTTTCACTAATGGTGAAAAGCTAAATGACTAAAAATAATAGACGTAAGCTTCTTTACTGCTGCGGCTTTTACATTTATATGACCGGCTGAAAAAAAAGAAGGCAGCAAAACTTCATTCAGACACAAAGCTGATCTTCATTTTCATTCTTTTATAACATGTTTTTATCTGTTTTTTTAATCTTTTTTATTTGTTTTTATTTTTTTTACACTTGTGTCTTTTAATTCTGTTTATGCAAAGTACATTGAATTGCCTCTGTGTATAAAATGTGCTTTATAAATAAACTTCCCTTGCCTTTATTAGAGACCATTTCAATGTGGTCCTGTCATTGGCCAATTAAAATTTCCTGCTTGTTATCAAACTTTTTCATAACCTCAATAAGAGGCAATTCAATCATATCCTAATGTTAAAACACCTCTCATAGCTTTATTTATCAACATGTGGCTCTTTTTGGATTCTTGGAAGTTCTAAAAATTAAAAATGTAAAGCAGCAAATACATTGGCACCATTATTTTTGTTTACACCCCTCAAAATACTCTCTCTATATAAAAAAAGTGAAGAGTGAAAGTTTGTAACTGCGCTCTGAAGTATATAAACCACTCATGCAGCTCCACACAACACCCTGAAATCTCCTGTGACCACAACAGCTGCTCTTTGTCTTAACGTCACATTAAATGGAGTATGTTTTTCCATGTTGCCGTTGTGTTCAGATAAATAAGGCATCAAATTGGCTGTGATGTACGCAAAATACCAGTCAGATGAATTCCTCCACACAAACATCTGCCGCCATTTACTATTTATCTTCTATTTAATGATAACAATCTTGATATCAAGGCGATGGCATCTTATTGAAGCTAAATACAGATTCCAGTGGCTGTGCATGGCTGTGTTTACAGTATATATTAATAAAGTGGTTTCGGCTCTGCCTTCCAGCAGCACTGACCAACACTTCCTTATTTCATAGAGCACTTCCTGAAACTACTTCTTCACACAGTAAGAGGATCTGTTTTTGCGGAATTCTAGGTTGTTTCACTTTGGATGGATGGATGGATGGATGGACGGATGGACGGACATAGATAGATAGATAGATAGATAGATAGATAGATAGATAGATAGATAGATAGATAGATAGATAGATAGATAGATAGATAGATAGATAGATAGATAGATAGATAGATAGATAGATAGATAGATAGATAGATAGATAGATAGATAGATAGATAGATAGATAGATAGATAGATATAGACGGATGGATGATCACATGAATAGACGGATGGATGGATGGATATATAGATAAAGAACGATAGACAGATAGAAAGACAGACAGATAAAAAATGATAGACAGATGGACACACAGAAAGATTAAAAACGACAGAGAGATAGACAGGCAGACATATCAAGACAGATAGACAGAATGACAGAAAGATAGAAAACAATGATAGACAGATAAAGAATGATAAACAGAGATTGAAAGAAAAGGAATAACAGACACAGAATGAAACAGACAGACAAAAAGAATGACAGACAGAGAAAAGAATGACTGACAGAGAAAAGAATGACTGACTGACAGACAAACAGACAGAAAAGAATGAAAGACAGACAGACAGAAAGACAGAAAGATAAAGAATGAATGACTGACTGACTGACTGACTGACTGACTAACATACAGACAGAAAACAATGACAGACAGACAGAAAAGAATGACAGACAGAAATATATGACAAACAGAAGAAAAACAATGACAGACAGACAGATAAAAAAAGAATGACAGACAGACAGACGGAAAAGAATGACAGACAGACAGACAGGAAAAAGTCACACAGGCAGACAGAAACAGAATGACTGACAGACAAACAGAAAAAAATGACAGACAGACAGACATACAGAAAAGAATGACAGAGAAATATTAAAAATAAACAAAAATGATAGACAGACAGACAAAACCAAATGACAGACGGATAGAAAAGAGTGACCGACACAGAAAAGAACGACAGACAGATAAAAAATGAATAACAGACAAACAAAAGAATGACAGACTGAGAAAAATATGATAGACAAACAGACAAAAAGCAATGACAGACAAACAGAAAAAGAATGACTAACAGACAGACAAGAATGACAGACAGACAGAAAAGAATGACTAACAGACAGACAGATAGAAAAGAATGACTAACAGACAGACAGATAAGAATGACAGCCAGAAAAGAATGACAGACAGACAGATAAGAATAACAGACAGACAGAAAAGAATGACAGACAGACAGCCAGAAAAGAATGACTAACAGACAGACAGATAAGAATGACAGACAGACAGACATAAAAGAATGACTAACAGACAGACAGATAGAAAAGAATGACTAACAGACAGACAGATAAGAATGACAGCCAGAAAAGAATGACAGACAGACAGATAAGAATAACAGACAGACAGAAAAGAATGACAGACAGACAGCCAGAAAAGAATGACTAACAGACAGACAGATAAGAATGACAGACAGACAGACAGACAGACAGACAGACAGGGAAAAATGTCAGAAAGGCAGCCAGAAAAAGAATGACTGACAGACAAACAGAAAAAAATGACAGACGGACAGACACACAGACATACAGCCAGACAGAAAAGAATGACAGACAAAAATAAAGAATAAACAAATATGATAGATAGACAGACAGACGGGTAGAAAAAAATGACGGACAGAAAATAATGAGACTGATAGATAAAGATTTTCCCTACAGACTATCACAGTGGCCATTTGTCTGTGTGTTTTTTGTCAAACCCTGTGGTTCGAAATGTGCGCATGTTCTTCCTTCTGACATCGTTTATTTCAGTTTAAATTATTATGATATTGTGTTTCTATCCTTTATTTTGGATGCTATTGTAGTTTTATATTTGTATTCCTCTTTCAAGCTTAGGCAATATTCTATCATTAACAGTCATGCAAATAAAGCAATTCTGAATTGAAGTGAATTAGATAAAGAAGAATAGACAGAAATGATCGACAGATCGAAAAGTGACAGAATGACAGACAGAAACAGAAAAAGAATGAGATATTTAAAGAATGATAGACAGACAGATAGAACAAGAATGACAGACAGACCGAAAAAGACAAAAGGACAAATAGAAAAAGAATGATAGAATGACAGACAGACAGAGATAGATAGATAGATAGATAGATAGATAGATAGATAGATAGATAGATAGATAGATAGATAGATAGATAGATAGATAGATAGATAGATAGATAGATAGATAGATAGATAGATAGATAGATAGATCGATCTTTCAGAATAGGAGACAGTTATCTCGAGAGGGGCGTTGGATGCTGCTAAAGTGCTTCACTTCCTGGTACAGATCTAAAGCAACATCATCTCGATCTGATGAACAGTAATAAATCTTCCTAAATAAATGACTCTAAATGACTTCACGACGAGTGTCAACACAGAAACACGCTTCAAATAAACAAGTGATGCGATCTCCACCATTACAACATGCACCAACACTTTCCTATCGCGTCTTGAATAACAGAATCAGCACTGAACTGAGTCAAAGTTGAAGACAAGTGAGTTTTGCTGAAGCACGCAACAAGCTTTGAAAGATCGTTTGGCATAATGTCCCTCAGCTATCATGTGGCATTTCTGCAGTAGATTAAAAAAGGACGAAATACTCACATCTTCCATGTTATAAAAACAAAGATCCCGTTATGCGCAGGAGAAAAAAGGCTCGACGCAGGACTTTATCTCGGGTTAAAACTGTTGATCGCTCTTCGTCTCAACTTTCCCACATTCAACATGACGATGAAGAAGAAGAAGGAGAAAAAAACAAGGAACTGCGTACGACGAGCTGAAATGTAACGGGACTCTGCTGCTCTTTTTCCTCTTTCGACTTCTGCAGCAGCTACAAGTTTGAGGCTTGAAAAAAAAAAAGTTTGGTTTCCGGTAAGTCCCCAAAAGCCTCTGCCTCTGCCAAAAAGAGACACCAGGGCCGCGTCTCAAAGCGCAGTGTGATGACTATCTAGACAGCCTCGAAACGCCAGGAATTCCGTCGATAAACTTTCGCCCTCTCACACAAAAAATGTAGAGCGCGAGGTCTGAAGTGACTTTACGGGGAATTATGATTTGAATGGAATTTGTATTTCAGGTTTCATTTTGGCGCCTCTCACAACTCGACTGTTGAAACAAGTATTATCAGAGCTAGCCTATTCATTTATGTATTTGTATTGTTAGCCTTTCTTCTTGAAATTAACTAAAAGTTGGCCAAGTGATTTGAGTATCACAAAATACTAGTAGTAAATAGTGTTTTTGAACTATTATAGTGTATAACAGGCTTACTTTACAGTGTTTACATCATGAATGCTAATAAATAATATATCACAAACGTTTTAGCACTAGAACAGGCATGTTCTAGTGCTTTGTGTGATTTACTTATTTTTAATCTGTTGATTTCGATGCTTAATGTAATTTTTGCACATTTTCGTTAAGTGTTTTAAGCATTATCAATGTCTTTAAAAAATGGAAAATTTTGTAATTGTGTCTGGTTTAATGTCAGTAGTACTAAGTACAATAGAGTTTTATTTTATTTTTTTATCTCAACAATATGCAGGCCAGGCACTTAAATTAGTTCTGTACATGTTCATGTGCTTTATCATTTTAAATGTTTTTTCTTAAAATAAGATAATTTGAATGATTGGAATGTAATGTTTTTACACATTTAAAAAAATGTTTTAAGCATCTTCAATGTTTTAAATAAAGTGTGTTTATTTTGTTAATATTGTGTAATTGTGTCTTTTTTATATCAATAGTACTAATATATATATATATATATATATATATATATATATATATATATATATATATATATATATATATATATATATATATATAATGTTAATCAAATTATATGATAAACTATTTAGGACAAAATTAAAAGGTTTAAAGTAGTTAACTGTTTACTTAGTTTTTTACAGTAATTAACCATTTTCAGACACTACGGTAACATGCTGTAAACTGATTTACGGTTGTAAACTGTAAATCTCAAATAGTGTTGCCAGTAAGTTACTGTAAAAATCCTTTGAAACGTCTAACAGTGTAGAAGGAACCACTGAATTAAAACATCAAGTTATTAGTTTAATATTTTGACATTATAGTTTAATAGTTAATTTTTGTAGTGTATTTAAATGTATTAGTTTTGTTAAATGGAAGTCTTTTGAGTACCATCCCACGTGAAAATAATACTTTAGTAATGGTAAATACTAAAGCGTTTTTGAACCATACTAGAGTAAAGTGTATAATGCTGTATATAATAGTGTTTACAACTCTTTGTTAATGAATGCTCCAGCATATTGTAGTATTTACTATCATGAACTAATAAACTGTAATAAATACCATAGTATACTTCAGCTTTTACCACACTATACTGTGGTTTATTGTAGAATTCATTCATTCTCCTTCAGCTTAGTCTTTATTTCAGAGGTCGCCACAGTGGAATGAACCACTAACAATTCCATTGTATGTTTAAAGCGGCGGATGCCCTTCCAGCCACAACCCAGTATTGGGAAACATTCATACACTCACACGCGCATACACTACAGAGAATTTAGCTTATCCAATTAACCTATAGCAGGGGTTCCCAAACCTTTGACCCCCAAAATGACAATGCCAGTGACTCGGGACCCCCAAAATCCTCTGAGGTGGTTATAAATACAGAAACCTTACACCCAAGTCTACTTTTCGTTGAATTTTTTAATGTATGTCAGTGCTGTAAATGTGCCGAAAAGTTTAATCGAGTGATATAAAATCAATCTGCTGCATCTAAAGGCTGATTTATACTTCTGCGTCAAGCGCACGCGTATGCTACGGCGCAGCATAAGCGTCGACGCATAGCCCTACGCCGCGGCTGTCGGCGTCGCTGACGTGCACCGCTCGAAAAATAAAACTACACGTCATAACAATGCGTAGTGCAAGCTCTGTGATTGGTCGGCTTGGTAGCGCTGACGAGTCTGGGCGGGTCCGAGAGTGGCGTGATTGGCACGACCCCGATGGAGCGATTGTTTACAAGTGTGGAGTCCCATGAAGGAGCTCTGGATGGAAAGTTTTGTTTTGTGTTTACCTCATCGTTAAAGTTGTTGCACGTCCACCAGTTCCTGCCTCAAAATGAGCGAGTTTGAGCCAATTGTACATCCTGGAAGCATTCAGAAAGAACAAAACACCAGCGAAGAAACTCGACACAGAGACACATTAACACCTCACTGCCAACTAGCGTTTTGGAAGTGTTAATGCAGACCAACAGAGACAGCTCACAGAAGTATAAATGCACAGCTACGCGCGTTGCATGCGCCGTTGGTTACGCTGGTCACTTGACGCAGAAGTATAAACCAGGCTTAACGGTATTGCTGTGTCTTTAATATAATGTTATTACCCTAGCGGTCGCAATCCAACAGAACTAGTAACTATAAGCTACTATAGGAACTATATAGTATACAGTAACTATAAACGACTATTTTTTCGCTGGATTATGGATAAAATATGGTAATGCTTATGGTTTAATAAAAATAAATACATTTTTGGAAATCACCAGGCGACCACCCTTCATTGTACCGCGACCCCTCGGGGGGTCCCAACCCCCACTTTGAGAGCCTCTGACTTATAGCGCATGTCTTTGGACTGTGGGGGAAACCGCAGCATCCTGAGAAAACCCACACCAACACAGGGAGAACATGTAAACTCCACACAGAAATGCCAACTGGCCCAGCCAGGACTCAAACTAATGACCTTCTTGCTGTGAGGAGAGCCACCGTGACGCCCCATTTTGTAGTACACCCTATAATTTTTTAGTGTTTAGAAATGTCACGATCACCAGCGATCATAACTCCATAGATCGCTGGAATTCACTTACGGACTACAAATCCGCCACTTTATGGACTACATCTCCATACATGCACTCACACACACGTTCTACATCCTAACTGATTGCACAGACACCACCGGAGGATTGTCAAGGACTGATTACACACTACTTAAGCAGCACACACATTCACTCCAGTCGCCGGGTCTTGTTATCTGTTCTAGTGACATTACAAGCGTTTCCTTTGTCTGCCTTAACCGTGTTTTTGATCCTTGCCACGTTTATTTGTTTAATTCTGTTTGCTGCCTGCCTCTGACCATCTGCCTGCCTACTGACTACAATTCTGGACTGCCTGTATACCTCTGTTTGTCCGTGTTGACTATTGCTTGCCTATGGATGGTAATATACAAGTTATTATACAGTTTCAGTTAACTTACGACTTAACTTAAGACCTGTTGCTCACCATAGCTCGCTCCTGTCACGGTAGGCAGTCCATTCCAACCGTGCGAAAATTTAATGGGCGTGGCCAACCTGTGACCTCATTTAAGATTGACCAATAGAATAAGGTGTTTCAGAAGATCCCGCCCACTGAGCTGCAGTTTTCAACTTGCAAAACTGTTCAACTCAAAAGCATTTTATTTGAAATCTTTTATTTTTTAATAGCATTGTACGCAGGCCCGGATTGGCTAATCGGGAGGACCGGGAGAATACCCGGTGGGCCGGTCCGTTTTTTGGCCGCGAGGGCCGGTGTCCCTAGCTCCAGAATCTGTTGCTCTCAGCAGTCACATTTTTAAAAATTATTTATTTATTTACTTGACCACAGTCTTCTTATTCATTATTTTACCGCAGCTCTGCTCTTTTTATATATAACCAGCCTGCAGGTTAATGATAATATAACTCAGATGAGTCACATCTCAATATGCAACTGTTGTGGCCCAGTGGATAACACGATAAACTACGACGCTGCCGACCCGGGTTTGATCCTCGTCTGAGTATGTTTTTCTTTTTTCATTTTTATTGTTAAGACATATAAGACTATAATAATTACATTTGAAGTTCTAAAGCAGCTGTTTTCTCAAAAAAAGACGTGATAATGTTATTAGAAACTGAATTGGAATGACCTTATTTTAAAATAGTCAGTCGTGAACTGAGGTGGGCCGGTCTGAGGCTTGAAACTCCAGGGCTGAAAGGAGTCCCACTCCGGCCCTGATTGTACCTTATTTTGATCAAACACTTCATGTTTGTTTGAATAATAAAGACACAAAATTAACCCCGGCATTTATGGGTTCAAAACTTTTCAACTCACAAGTGTAAGCTGAGAAAATATTATATACTTTTCCTTCTATGCTAATGAAGGACTACTGAGACATTCCAAGCATGGGATGGGTCCTCCTGGTGAGGCAGAGTTCCTCACAGCTCCGATACACATCTCTGCCATTTGCTTGCAGTAACCATGTGCTCTTCACCATACACAATTCATCTGCTCGTGTTCTTCTTTCAGATAACTTTGTCATGTTTGGTGTCATTTGACAGTTTATGACTTCAGTGTTGTAGTGATGAAATCAACAGAGACATTGGTTAATTGTGCTTCAATCTACAACATATTTGCTGCGTCATGACCTGAGGAGAGTATGTTAATGTTCTTCTCCCCCACTTCATCTCCTCAACTTTGCTCTCATGTCCAGCTGGTTTTGGGGGTTGGTTTTCACTCATGTTTTACAATGCTTTGCTCAGGGTATAATAATGAAAGGTAACTGTTGATTTGGGAGAATGGCTTTTACTCTGCATCTCTCGCACACCAGTGCGTAGCCTCATACGCTAACAAAGGCAGTTTCACTGTCTTTGTTGCTCAGCAGTGCATATGTTACAGCTAATTTCTTTTTACAGTATCTTAGTTTGTTTCATTCTAATGCAGTGGCTCTCAAACTGTGGTACGTGTACCACTAGTGGTACGCAGGCTTTCTTCTAGTGGTACGCGGAGGAATGAAATATGTCATGAACATGCTACATATATATTCAAAATGTATTAAAAATGATGTATATAATATACCATATGATATATAGCGTATATTTGTGAGGTAATCCGCAACGTTTTTTTTTACTTTGCAGAGCTGTAGCTGCTTTACTGGGCCTACTACGCTACTGTATTTCAATACTGCTCATTTTGGTGGTACTTGGAGAGACAATTTTTTTCTGAGGTGGTACTTGATGAAAAAACTTTGAGAACCACTGTTCTAATGTCTGTATATTTAAACATGTAACTTAATAAACAACTTTGCCTGCTTTAAGACGTAGAGATTCTTTCTCTTTATCAATGATGATAACAACTTTAATGGAGTCAGATTAATTACAATGGAGTCAGGTAAATAATGGATTT